CTTCTCTCAAACATATAACGTTGTCTCTGCTTGATAGACTTTGTGCTCATTGTCCTGTTGCCAGGACCACTCTTCCCTCTGACATTTACATTCTTGGCTTCTGCTCAAGTCTAAGGCTCAATTCAAATATCTCCGGTAGACTCAGAGAGGTCTTTATAACTTTCTTATCTATTAGATTGAGCATCTGTTAGACAGCACATGTTTCTTAGTTTGGGAGGGCCTCATGGACAAGAAATCTTTGTATCTGAATTCAGGAAGTACTGATGGAATAACTTGGTAGCCATGACAGTTAGGCCACAACCTGCCAAAAGGTGAATACCATGAAGTGCCCTTGCTAGTTTAGCATCTATGAAAAATTGTTATAGTCAATGCGCTAAGACGTGCAGAAGTGCTTGGAAAATGTAACAAGAAGCCAGTTGCTCTTAGGCAAAGAACTACAGTGTGACACATACAGGTGTGAGGAATTTATATTTACCCAATCCAACATCAAGCAGAGAAAGAAAAAAATTTCTTTGAGAAAACTTGGGTTTGAATTTTTTCAGTTAAGGAAATCATGTAATGAAAATATTCATTTCGCAGGCCATTTATCCTAGACTGTAGCATAGGAAGCAAGTTAACAAATCATGTGTCTGACGCCTGCCTTCTGAAAGGGAAAGCATCATTTAGTAGTTATTAGAGCACTGTAGGAGTCAGAGCATCTGTGTTTGACTCTTGGCTCTGTTCCTGTCTCGCTGTGGAGCCTTGGGCCAATCACTTAGCTCCTTTGTGTCTCAGTTTCCCCACCTGGAAAAATTCAGAAAATACGATATTTACTTAAAATATAACCCTAGGAGGATTCTATAAAATAGTACATGGAAAACACATTGAACAGTAATATGAGCTATGAGGATCTTCATGTTGCAAACAAAGTAACTTTAGGAACTCTTTCCAAGTTATACAGTTAACACACTGTAGGGGAAGTTCTAGAATCCAGGGCATCGCTGGCCTGATACATTGGGGGTACTCTAAGCATTTTAAAAAGATTGATACAATTAATCCTATTTAACACCTAAAATAGACATTGCAACAAAACAGTGTGTTCATTATATCATTATAATGAAAAAATATATTCTAAAGAAGAAAATATATATAGATATGCAGGAAAAGTACAAGAACATACACCAAAAGTGCGAATAACGGGCATATGGCAGAAGGAGTTGAGAATAAGAATGATTTTGCCTTTTTCATCCTTACCGTGTTGTCCATGTTATTGGCATTCAGCAGACCTGAGATTTTTAATCAGAAAACACATGTTATTGATAACACAAAGCAACAGTAACACTCACTGTAAAATGAAACTCCTGTATCTTTTGAATATGTCATTAGGGCAAATCCTTATTTTATTCACACTGTGCTGTCATTGAATATTTTGCCACTTCAAAATACATGTGGAAATTTAACTGCCACAGTTACAATATTAAGGGGTGGGGCCCTTACGAGGTGATTGGTCTAAATGGCTCCACCCTTGTGGGTGGGGTTGTGGCCAGAATAACAGGGTGGGTGTGCCCCCTCTTCTCTCTGTCTCTCTCTGGCTCTCTCCCTCTTGCCATCCGCCATGTGAAGCTGTAGCAAGAGGGTTCTCCTTAGTTGCTGGTACCTTGATCTTAGCCTTCCCACCTTAAGAACAGTGAGCCATTTCCCTTCAGTGTGAACCATCCAGTCTCAGGCATTCTATTGTAGCAGCACAAATCAGACTAAGACACTCTGCTTTACCCTTTCTAGATAATTCTAATTTAGACTCTTGCTGAGCTCCCATAGAACCTTGTACAGACTCCAGTGCCCTATGTGGCTGTACCCAAATATTTTGTGGAGCTGTCAGCTTCCTCACACATCTATTACTATCTCTATCCTGGTTACCTCATATTGTGGTATATTAAAAACATTTGATGAATGACATATCCATCGAGATCCTGACTTTACAAATAGTATTCCTAAGGACTACTCCAATTCCACAGTTACCGAAATGATTTATAGTATCCCATTCTCTCTACTGGTGAATTATTGTTACACATTTCTGTATTCTATTTCTAACCAAGACTTCTTATGTTTCCAATTGTTTCCCCTTTTATATTAAAGCATTTGGAAATTACATGTATGTAGTTGTATTTCTATTTTTTATCCAAGTAACATTCTATATTAAAAATATTTTCATAACAATCCTCTGAAAAATGCCTTAAGGAAATTTGACCATACTGGCCCTTCATTTGATTTCATATTGTTCATGGGTTTCATGGACAGTTTTATGACTTATAAAAATAGTTTATAATCTAAGTTTCAAGGCTCCACTCAGAACATTTTCAGTCCATTTCCTTAGCAGAGTTATAAACTAGAGTTTAAAAGGCAATGAAAAGTGTATGAACTACTGGACAGCTGCTTGGTGCTGCCATGTATAATGCACCTGCGGAATTTTGACAACATCTGTGGATTTCTCTTGGTTGTTGCAGAGGCTAAAGTAGCCTGGTATCTTTCATCAGTAGGCTCCAGGTAGACTGATACTTGCAGATGGCTTCAAGATTGTATGTGAAAGCTTTCAGTGGTCAGATTGAGAGAGTAAGGATTAGTAGCATTGGACAATGCATCTCACAGAGAAAGTATCCATGAGTAATTCAATACCAGAGAGGCCACTTAGCCTCTGACTGCTAGACATTGTCAGGAATCTGACCCGTAGCAGGCAACATTTGGAGTGGAAGGCGGAAAACTCCAGTGGATCCCTACCCTCCACATTCTTCTTTTATTTTCTTATATATCCCACTAGCTAATCATCAGTTAAAACTAAGAGCATAGAGAGTATATAAAGTATCCTACAATTTTAGTCTTGAAAAGAGTACCTGGGTTTTCCCACTTCAGTTATAAAAATAATAATAATTATGAAAAACAGTAATAACAACAACTGACGTTTATTGAGGATCCATTCTTGTCCCAGACACTAGCCTAAGTGTTTGGCATATATTATTTCCTTTTCAAAATGCTTTCTTCATGTAGTTTGTTGTTAGAACTAAGAGAAATGACCCAGGCAAAGTCCTTAGCTCAGAGTGTTGCCAATGATGCTGGAGTTTCCTAAAAGTTTTGTTATTGTTGCTATACAAACAACAATAACAACAAACATAAATGCCTCCTACTACTCTAAATAAACCCTAGGAGGCTGTTTAAACTTTTGACCCATAGAGGAAGTCCCAATGCTTTGTAATATCCCGGAATTATCCCCAACCTACCTCAGAGCCTGGCCCAGATTAAACAGTCAACAGATATTTATAAAAATCACGAATGACCTAATTGCGTGAATGTGTTTGTAAGTAGATTTCATAGACAAGAGAGTGGGTGGTGGTCTTTGGATTCTCAAAATATTTCATGGTCTAAGAAAATAACAAATCACACTTGAAGAGAAATGTTGTCAATGTGTGAGCAACAAAGTCCAATGAGAATGACGAGGAAGCAGGGAGGAAGTATGTGAGTTGGGCTGTCTTCCCGCCATAAGGGGGTTTGAAAACCTGCGATGCTAGCCTCTAGGTTGGCACTCCGGGACTAGTCCCTCTCCCCACCTGGAAATTCCTATTTGCCCTCTGAGGCCATTTACATAAGACTTTGTGGGATTACTGGCCGTACTTCTAGACTTGAATGGAGTGATTCAATGCCAGATAATTTCATTCTGGTTTTGTAGGAATCATAGGATGTTAGCGCTGGAAAGAACCTCATACATCATCTATTTTAGGGTTTTCAAATGAGTAGCAGATGTGTTCCCGTTCCCTTTGCTGCACCCCTGGAAGACGTCTCTAACTAGAGACAGCACTCAACTTCTGTACCATCTGAATCTTTCTTAACATAATATCATATGCAACTGCAGCTGATGCCAGTTGATTGAAATAAGAATGCACAAAAATAGATTCCCCTCACTGTTACACGTCTAGTTTCCTCCTAGGGGAAGATCAAGGAGATGACATCTGAGATGCTTCTGGGTTAGCCATGAGCACTGTGAACGTAGTGATATGAGGCATATGCGACACGAAGTGACTTCACACTACAAAGATTTAAGCCAAATACCATCTTTCAATGTCATCTGCTGTTATTTTTTCACATATTTTTGGATTAAAGAAACTCTTTTAAATGACCTTCTTCTCACACACAAATCTAGAAGCAAGCTAATGAAATTATAAATGATTTTAAGTATTGTATACTTTTTTAATTCAAATAATAAGACAGTTAAGCAAAGTTTCAGGCCTCAGACTCATTTTCTCTCATCTCTCAGTATCCTCGCAAAAGAGCAGTTTGGGGAAAATCCTCTCCCTAGAGTTGAGAGACTGGGGCTGTTACATCCGTCTGAGGATGTCGCTTTGCTCTTCTGGGCCTGCTTTCTTCTAGTGTCCTGGAAGAACATCGCCCACATCAGAGGAATAAAAGCTTTGCATCCTCATGTATGGAAGGGAAATAAACGGATTTTTATCGAACCAAATATGAAGACGTATTTATTTTCTTGTGTGTGTGTGAACAAAAAGCATATTTAAGGTGAGAGGGAGGTTTAGCTAGGGCAAAGCATGAAATAAAGCCATTTCCAACTTCTTAAGCCATTAATTAAATAAGGTAGACCTGACTTCAAAATTAGAAAGCATCATTGTAGTTCTCAGAACTTGGAATAGAATGCTTTCTCCGCATAATGAACAGATAAGATACGAGCTTTGCCATAAACTCATCCAGTTGAGTCTGTGGAGTTTTTAAGCATACCAGGAGAGATCAAACTTAAAGTTCTGACACAGGCTAGATTTTTTTTTTCTTGCGAGGATGGTAAGGGTGGCCAGGGAGAGGAGACTTGCCAAATATGTAGTATCCTCTGCCTTCTTTATCATATAGTCTAAGTAAACTGGCTCGAATCCCATCCTTCTCTCTGCTTTGGTGCCCACCCCTTTTTGAACTATGAAAGTTACAGAGGTAAATTAAAAAATAAGCCAGTATTAGATGAAAACATATTTATTGGCTGAATAATAAAACTTAGCTAAGGAGTTAGAAGTAGAAATCTCCCTACTTGAAGTACAAGTTACCAATAAGCAAACAGAAGCACCCCCCCCAAATGAGAACGAATACATTGGTAACCCACATTCCAGGCCTGTGGGGGTGTGTTGCAGCCATCTGCCCACTTCTCTGTGATGGACTGTAGCACTGAGGACAAAGCACAGACAAACAAGGAGAGGCAGCGCGAATCGGAACATCAGCGCCAGCGTGCCACCCCTGCCAAGCCTGGACTCTGTAGCTGTGGCCACTTTAACTCACAACCACAAAGGCACTTCGGAAGTCACCCCACAAAGGACGATTTGCATATAGTTCTTGACAACATTGGTACAAAACAAAAAACAAAAACAACTCTCCAATCATGGTTAATAAATAAGAGAGGAAAGGAAAAGATCTAACAAGCAACTGCCAAGAGCCTGAGAGGCCCCTTGGACCTCATTTGAAAAACAGGCGACTCTGACAGCTTTTCAGAGAGGAGGCTGGAGGCTGAAAGGAGCTAAGCCTTTATCCTCTCTTGCTATTTCCACACAATCTCTAGGATGCAGAAGTTTAAACAGCCCCTACCACATAAACTGTCCTTTTTCATGTGGCCGCAGCGGGTATCTCTGCAGAGTTACAAAGCTCTCTAGGAACCGCATGGCTGTCAAATTGTTCTTTCCAGCTGATACATCCGTAAGGATCATATAAATAATGTACAAAACCCAAACCAGAACACTAAATTACTCAACTCTGAACTTTTTCTTTTCTTTTTAAAGATGACCTCAGATGCATTCTCAAAGTGCAAATCTGGATATGAAAAAATAGTAGGTATTAGGGAAACGCAGCCCCGTCTTTTATGCCCTCCCCCTCGCCCTGCACCCCGGGGCTGCTGCGTGCCCTCCCACCTATACTTTGAGATAGTCGTTTTTCAGCCGACCTAGCCGAGTCCCGTGGCTCCTGATGGTGAGGGCCAGGAGCTCATATTTGTCCCTGAGCCCCACAGAAATGTCCAGCGTCTCCTTGAGCAGGGACTTGGTGTGGACCAGCATGCCCAGGAAGTCCTCGTTCAGCCTGCTCTCCTGCCGGCTGTCCTGCTCCTGACCCTGCCGGAACTTGCTCTCTAGCTCCGTGAGCGACTTGTCCGAGTTGGAGTAGGCATCCCCGATCTGGTGAGACTCCCGCCGCAGGTATTTGCCGTAGCTCTCTTCCCCGTCCAGGTCGTAGGAGATGCTCTTGCTGATGCCCTCCAGCACGCGCCCAGCATCCTCCACCTGGCGGCCCAGCACGGTGAACTCCTCGCGCAGGGTGAGGCTCACCAGGCTGCCGGCCTGGCTTCCCTCCCCCTGCGAGCAGCGCCGGTGGTCACTCACCCTGAAGAGCAGCTGGCACTTCTCCGGGTCATCGTTCTCCTCATAGTCCCCATCGGGCACGAAGTAGTGGTGCAGAGTCCCGTTGGACATCTCTGGGTACAGGGGGCCATCGAAGTAGCCCTGACACAGGTGGCAGAAGAACAAACTCGTGCAGAGGAATTTCAGGAACACCATTCTGGATGTTCAGAAAGGTCGGGAACCCCAGGCGAAGACTTTCTGCCCGGAAGGGGGGTGCTCTACTTGGGAGTCAGCGCCTCCCTGAGACGCCGTCCGCCTCTGCCCCGGCCGGCTCGCTGCACCCTGGCCCCAGGTCCCCAGCAGGCTGCATGTGGCTGTGCACGCCAGCGCCGGGGGACGCACCTAGCTGCGCGCCCGCTCGGTGGCTGCAACTCCGCTGGCTCTGTGCGGGCTGCCGGATAGCAGGCGGAGCGGGGAACCCCTCCTCCGGGGCTCTGGCAAGAGCTGCCACGATTATCCGGTCCTCGGAGTTCCCCCTTGCTCCTGGGAGACGGAGCGTGTAGCTGCAGAGAAAGGTTCTTGCCCTCTGATAGTATTTCAATTCCTGGACTGGGTGGGAATGTGGAGCTTTTCCTTTGGCTACAGATATCCTGAGAATCTCTCTGCTCTCAAATTACAGCTGATTTCGTCACTTGGAATCCAAGGAACAAGTTTGGAAAGAAACCTCTCACCAGGTCTCTGTTGTTAAAGGTACAGGGTCTCTTTTTAAAGGCTGGAAGGGGGGACCCTGCAAAATAAAGCTTAACGTGAAGGGGAAGTAGAGAAGAGAATGCATAGAATTTCCACAGCAGAAAGCCTGGTTTGCTATTGACCTCCTGGGAAGAAGGGGTAATTATTATGGGGGAATGCAATTTCACATGTCTAAATAAATATCAGTCTGGTTGAATTTGTTGAGTCTGTCCATTTTTATCCTAAGAAAGTATGTGACTTTGAAGAGAAAATTGCAGGGTCACAGATGACCGTTTTGTTTGGAAGTTAATCATTATTTAAAATTTATAAAGACAATACTTTGGAGGTAATAGAAACACAGAAAATCGGTCAATACATAGTCGTTGGTATGTATGAGAAGACAAGACGAAAAATGGAACTTTGCCAATTTTATAAGGAGAAGGACAACTGAGATCATTGCTTAATTTAATGAAATGATACTAAGCTTCTGCACTGAATCTTTAACCTAATACTTTCCCAGCTATTACTTCTTTTGAGATACTCGAAAACTTTGTAAGAATATAGGGCTGGTACTGTTATCCCCATTTTTCCAGATGGAGAAATGAGGGGGCAAATGTTAAGCAAATTGTTTATATTCACACAGATTGTAGTTAAGTCAGAGCTCAGGGTGACTTCAACTTAATTTGGGAAAAAAAAAAAAAAAAAAAAAAAAAACCAACCAACCAACCTTTTTTCCCCACCAGGTTATTCTGGTTTCTGAGTTACCATTGGCAAAATGGCCTTCCTCAAATCCATTCATTTGTTTAACGAACGTGTCTTGAGCATTTATTATGTATCAGGGTTTGAGAATCCAGCAGTGAATACAAATAAAGACAGATCCTTGCTTTTCTGAAGCTGACATTCTGGGAAACAGAGAACTAAATTACTATAATATATAAATAAGGTACATTGTATGCTGCTCAGCAATAGGGTTGTGGAGGAAAGAAAACAGGGAAGGGGTAAAAACCCGAAGTAGGCAGCACTCTTATTTTCGTGGGGATTTTCTCTTTCTACCTTAAAATGTAACGGAAATACTCCACTGATTTGCCAGTACTCCGGCCTGTCTTCCTTTCCAGGTCATAAGAGACTATTTCATTCAGAGCCATAGTTCACTCAGTTCTGGGACTGTCACACTTGTCATCACTTTCACTGACATCAACAACCCAAACTCCTGGAGAGACAATGAGAAGTCCAGTTAAGTAACTGGATCTTTCCTTAATGTGGTACCATATGTGAAGATTTTCTTGGGGCATATTGACTGCACACTTTAAATCGTGTCCAGATACTTGACATCATGAAAACAGACCAAAGGAGTTTTCGTAGTGTTTATGCCAACTAGAAGACCAAGGCCTATTTTCAGTCTACACCAGCGGAAAACTGCAGCCTCCTCCAGTTGAGAGACTGGCCTTTTGGACCTAAGAGCTGCAGTGCTTTATTTCTTTTCCCCTGGGATGTTCACAAATGACAATGGAGGGATTCAAACTGGCTGCTTGGCCAAAGAAGAGAAAGATGAAGAGATGCTTTCCATGTCTCACACAGTCTCTCCCTGACTTACTAATCAATTTAATTAAGTGAATCTATATGAAGCACCTGCTCCTTGATCCCTGCTTGCAGGTGTAGTTAAATTAGCTACAGTTACAAAGATGTGCACAAATTTTTTTTATTGTTGTTGGGGATTCATTGAGAGTACAAAGAACCAGATTTGTTAGATAAAGTCCCTCTTTTTTTTTTTTTGCAGTTTTTGACTGGGGCCAGGTTTGAACACACCATCTCTGGTATTTGGGGCTGGTGACCTACTTCTTTGAGCCACAGGCACCGCCCAGGTAAAGTCCCTCTTATGAAGCACAAAAATGTTTTAGCCCACAAAGAGTTTGCTGTATATTGGAGGATCAGGCACATAGATACATAAAGTCATTATAAAAAGGGTAAAGACTATTTGTGTTCATCCTGCAATTGCCTCATCTAAAGACTCCATGTCATGCATTAGAAAGGAATAATTTTTGTGCAAGTGATTAAAAATCCACTTTAGTCTGACTAAAGGCAAAGGAAAATTCATTGACTCTCAGTAGTCTAAGATTAGATTTTCACACATGGTCTGATCCAGAACCTAGTTTATCTCTCACCATTCCTTGGTTCTAGTTCTTCAACTTACATTCATTCTTGGGTAATCTTTTTTATCCATGGTTCCAAGGTGACTACAGGCATCTTTGGGTGGGAGTGTGCAAGGGATTATTCTTCCTTGTTCATATGTAGCAGGATTGACAGATTGGATTTCCTGGTAGCTCAAATTCAGGTCTCTCAAGTCAGTGTCCATGGCCACAGTTGGCCTGATCTAGATCATGGATGTATCCTTAAACCAGGCTTCCTGCAGACAGAGGCTTGGGACAAGCATCTTGGCTTAAGATAATAAGAACCTATTTCTGTAGCTGATGGCAAGGTACCATGAAAACCATACAGCTGAGTGATTTACGGTCCTGCTTAGGAAGGGAACAGTATAAGAATAGATTCGGGGAAAGTAACTATTAATACAAATTCTTCCCCACCCTATGCCTCTATCTTCATTAATTGCATTTGAAAGACATGGCTACCCTTTGAAATAGTGTGCTTACTAATATGTTTAGCAGCTGGATGTATGGGGGAGAATGCCCTCATTTGTCACATTTGCTGATTTCTGTGGTATAAATACAATAGCTAACGTCACTGAACACTAAGTTGGGAAAACCTGCACAGCCCTGCACCATTATATAGCTTTTCCACCATATAGATACATTATAATAGATGCACATAATCCTAAGAAAATAGGACATAATGAAACTCTAGTAGAATTATTGAGGCATTGAGTTGTGTGTATATATTGCCTTTAAATAGTTTATTTAATTAAAGGTTGAGTTCATTTTTTAATAATGGTTATGTCTAACAACTGACTTGCAAAATTCCTAAACAAACTGCTCCCATGAGACAGTGCAAACTGGCTGTAGCCCAGGATGGCCTTTGATCATGCTTCATTTTGCTCACTTTTGAAAGATTTTCTTTTTAGGCTCTTTATATGTTCCCAGTTCTGTCCTGGTTGGTCTGCTAGAGTTAGAGCTGAGGGGGGCTTCTGAGGGTGGACCTAGAATAAATGAAACCAGAAGAAATGTCCAAACACTGACATAGCAGACAGAGGACTTTGAAGAGTAAAATCAAGACAGTTTATAACAGTTGATTCTAAAGATGAAAACTAGAGAAAAAGTACAGAACAGGAACTGGGTAAACTGAAGAATGAAGGAAGCCCCTAGGAGTTGTGTGAGTGTATGAGTACTGTTGCCCCACCCATCCCAGCAGCTTAAATGTGTGTAATCTCTGTCACACAATGCCAGGTAGGTTGGCTAGCTTAAGACTTAATTATCTTTGATCACTTCAAGTGCACTTTATTTTTTTTTTGAGAGAGTCTCAGTCTGTTGTCCCAGGCTAGAGTGCTGTGGCATCAGCCTAGCCCACAGCAGCCTCAAACTCCTAGGCCCAAGTGATCCTCTTGCCTCAGCCTCCTGAGTAGCTAGGAACAGGCACTTGCCACAAGGATAATTTTTTCTGTTTTTTGTAGATAAAGGGTCTAGATCTTGCTCAGGCTGGTCTTGAACTCTTGAACTCAAGTGATCCTCCCAATTTGGCCTCCCAGAGTGCTAGAATTACAGGCCTTGTAGTGCAAATCTCTGGCCTTGTAGTACACTTTAAAATCTTGTTTCTTTAGGCTAGTTACCACTTTAGAAAGGGAAACAGGAACTTAGACTGGCAGCATGAGCCTAAGGCTCTATAGGTGCCATTATCAAAGGCGTTTGTGATTCCTTGTTTCTGGTTATGGTAATATTAGCACGTTCATAGGAAAGGACCTTGTATGTAGTAAATATAAAGAGGTTTGGAGAGATGGATCCTACCTTCCCACTTAGAAACCCCCAAATCACTCTGGGAGATAGAAGCTTTCACTCTCAATATCACCCCAACTGTCAGGCTGAGTACCCTGAGCCATGTCAAAGAAGAAGAAAACAAATGAGAGTTATTGTGGACCAGCACAGGGGTGCTGAGGAGGGAGGTGAGAGGAAAGGCAGAGGAGAGGGGAAGACAAGAAGGACACGGTAATTAGTATTTGGGAGATTTTAGTTTTTATCAGCTATGAGGTAATCAGTAGCATTTATTGAGTAGCTTTGTTGCAGAGGATGCAAAGGAGAGAGGAAGAGAAATGGATAGGAGAAAGAAAGAAGAGCGAGAAGCAGGGAAGGAAAAAGGATAGTGAGAAAGAAAGAATGAAAGGAAAGAGGACTGAAGGGAGAGACTGACATAAATTTTGATTTTCTAGTCTGCACTATTTATTTGTTATATTAAATAAACAAAGTGGTCGTTGTTATTTACTACAAGAACATCAGTTAGGGGTAGGGGACAGTTGATTACCAAGGTTGATCACAAACCAAAACCCCCAACTTTTTCTCAAATACAGGAATAGCAACAAAGCACACCTATGGAAACAGTGAGAACGCTCACAAGGAAACACACATCATATAAGAAGGGTCTGGTAAGTTTAATGAGGTCTTTCTTCATTAGTCACAGTGTGCTGTGTTATTCTGTAGTAACCAACATCACAAGGCGCCAACATGGAAGTCAAGTTCACTGCAGGTCAAGGTAACCCAGCAGCTTGCCTCTCTATGGCAACTCCCCTGCCCCATGTGTAACATGAGACATTCTTGGTTGGTGCAGCGAGGAAAAAGGACTGTCCCTTGGTCTGCACTTAAGTGCATTGGATGGGACGTGCACATACACTTTTTCACACAGCCCATTGGCTGGTGACATGGTCC